CCCTGACCCCGCCCCCCACCCAGCAGCCTGGAGCCAGCTCACCTCCAGCCCAGAAGGAAACCAAGTGGAGAAGAGCTGAAAGCTCCTGGACAGTCACTGCCCCTCCACGCCAGGCCTCGGCCTCCGCCTCAGCACACACTACGTGCTTAGAACTGTGTGTCAGTCTATGTCACATAGATCACATCGCTTAATCGTTCCAAAGAGCACTCCGCTCCCCGCTCCCCTGGCCCCAAAATCTATTGCCCCCTCTATAACGTCCTTACCTGCAGGATGTGGCCTGTTTCCATTACCTGGGCCCAGACTCCTTCTTGTTTCCTAGGTGGCCCTCGTCCCCTCTCCGGGGCTTTCTAACCAATTGCTTCCTTAGTACCTAGTGGGGTTTTTGGCTGGTTGTTTTTCAGCCCCCAACTTATCATTTGCTTTTTGGAGGGATTAACATGAATTGATAGGAGAGAGGCGGTCAGGAGCCCAATCACCAAGGACCTTATGCTAAAATGAGGCGGCTAGGTCCACTATATGGAAATATAAGTGCATTTAAAAAACTGCTGAACGTACCGCATTGAAGGGCAGCAAAATGCGGCTGGAATAAGAAACCAGATACGGTATAGTTGAAATCCCACGAGTTTTTATCTCTCAAAACGTGTCCATCTCACTCCCTTAGTGCAGCCTTACGTTAAACAGAGCTTTATAGTTACCACTGCCCACATTACAAGATAATCGATTATACTGAAATGGGTATGGTCTCTATTGGTAAGAAGCGCACAAATACTTAGTACTATGTATCAGTCTATTTCAAATAGATTACATCACTTAATCTGTTCCAAAGTTCTCTGCTCAAAAGTTCTTAAAGGAACATGTCAATCTAATGTTATCATTAACATATAATTTAAAATCTTTAGGATTATTCAAAAGAGAACAAGATGGCATTATCTTTTATACCATCCAATAAGAAAAGTACGCCTCCCCCCAAAAATAGTCCAATCGTTTTATTTTTTTTTTTTCATTTTTATTGATCTTAGAGAGGGAGGAGGAGAAAGAAACATCAACATCAACATTGATTGGCTGCCTCCTGCAGGCCCCACACTGGGGATCAAGCCCGTAACTCGGGCATGTGCCCTGAACAGGAATCAAACCATGACCTCCTGGTTCATAGGTCAATGCTCAATCACAGAGGCACACCAGCTGGGCAATAGTCCAATAGTTTTAAAGTTCCATTAAGAATGGACATAATAGTTACATTGAGCTCTATATAATCTGGTTCCAACTCACTATCAACCAATAATTGCTTACAACATCCCATTTGGAATGGCTGGCACCATTCAAACTGGGAACATGGCAACGAGTGCTCCCTGGCCAGAGAGTTTGTCACTCAATTATTCGGGCTGATGAGTACTACAGTTTTCAGCACAATGAAGAGGTATGCCAATACACAGAACTAGACATGACAGAAAACAGTAGTAGTAATAACTAACTTTTGAACTCTTGCCATGTGCTAGACACTGATCGTTAATTTTCAGTAACCTGTGAGGTTCTATTATTTTTCCTGTGTTAAATGAGATATTAAGGCATAGAAAGGCTAAGTAATTTATGTAGTCACACAGCTAAGAAATGACAGGGCTGGGATTCAACCTCAGGCCTCTGGCACAGAACTTATATTTCTGTCTGAACGTTATTAGGACCAGAAGAAATAATATTCAGACCTCAATAGTAAACTGAGATGATAAAAGTTTCATTCTCATACAACACCCAGATATAGAAGAAAACAAAGAACAAGATACAAATGTGGGAACATGGTTTTATTTTTTCTTAAAAATTCATATGCTCTAAAACATTTTACTTGGAAGTTTTCACTACAAGTAGGAAAACAAACAATAACAACAGAGAACACCAGCATGAATATACAACACATACTTTAATTGTGGATACATTAAAATTATTCTAATGTAATACTTTCATAATATATCTCATATTGTGCTAAAATATAATACCAAAAAAAAGGGAGCACCTTCTAGTTCCTAGATGGAATATTCCCCAGTTCATGAATCTGTTAATAAAGTCAATTAGATCTTCAAAAAATAATAGTACAAGTCATACTAGAGAACTACAGAATCCTGGATTCTATGGCAGATGGGGTATCCTTATGTGAGCCAGAAAAAGGAACCCTGAAAGGTAGAGAGAGAAGTGATAAGCAAACTAAAACTCACATGTCAACCAGCTGTGGGTTTTTAAAATGCCATTAAAATTAATCTGAGCATGCTTCAGACACATCTCCCACTTTAATGAACACCACAGGATTCACAGTGGATGGTAAAGGAAGGAATGTAATTATATTGTTGGGTTTTAGCCATGACTCCCACCTCACTCTATGGTATGCAAAGGAATAAGGGAAAGTCTTTAGTCATGATTTGCACCTTAATCAGCATGATACAATTCACAGTAGCCAGAAACCCTACAAATGCAGCCAGGTGGACAGGCCTTTAAATCTCAAAGCGTAGTTGACATATGAAAATTCATATAGGGAAAGAACTACACAAATATAAAGATTATGAAAAATCCATTAACAGAGTTTAAGATCTAGTAAATATCAGAGAACCCAAAGGAGAAACCCAAGTGTAAAAAACTGCACCAGGCCTTCAGGTCATCGCTCACCCATCGGTCAAGCCCACACTGGAGAGCAGCCTATAGATGTAATAAAATGACATGGTCACATGCAGTGACTCCCTTCTTATTGCAGTATCAGAACTTCCATCAGAAAGAAGAGCTTTATAAATGGACTGAATGTTCAAGGCATTTAACCAAAGGGGTGGAAATTGAAGACACAAATGCTAAAGTAGATAGGTGCTTGGCGGTGCCTTCCCACCCACCCTACAAATAGCACTCCTTTCCAGTCACACTAGCCCCTGACCCTGCTTTCCTCTGCACAGCACTCTTCACTTAACATGCTACCCATTTATTTCTTAAAATGTGTCAGTTTCCTTCACAGGAATACAAACTTGGAAAGAGGGTGTTTTACGAAGCTCTATCTCCTCAGTGCCAGGACAAAACCCGGCATGTAGAAGGCACATCAAAGTTGTTGATAAGTGAATTACAGTACCTTCCTAATGTGGAATATTTGGTATCTTGAAGTGACTTCATTCTAAATGAAACAGAATTTACTTAGCAGGCTTTAACATACAAAAATGTGATCATTGTTTTATAATACACTAGAGTAAAAAGTATTATAACGGTCATGGCATACAAATTATCCTCCAATTGTGTGTGGGGTAGACTCAGTAAAAAGCACCTTAGAGCACCAGCAGCGAGACCCACGTGGTTCACAAGGTCATGAAGGCAAAATGGAAGCTCCCAGCTTTTAAAGAGAAAGTTCTCTTGTTTTCTCAGGCTCTAACTCTCATAACACTTTACTCCTCTGAGGCGCGATTTGCCTTGTCAACACTGGTGTAGGTAGAGGGCATGGCAGTGTGGAATCCTAGCGGCCACCCTTTTGTGCAGAGCTCGGCACTTAGAATCATGCCTCTTATTAATTCAAAACACTTTACCAATGGCCTAAGATGTGTTAAGTATTATGTATAAAGATAAAAGTTTAAAATACGAAGTTCACCAATCAGAAGGAAAACAACAGTCAAGCAGTGGATCCCTGTCACCACATGGGATGGCGAGACTCCAGGAGCAACAGGAGCCATGGCTCTGAAGGGTGTCACGTAAGAAGAGTGTGGAGCATCAGTAAAAAGAAGAGGAAGACGGAAGGAAGAGGGGAGAGAAGGGGGAGAGAAGGAGGGTGGGCTCTAGGGAAGATCAACACGGCAGAGGTAGGCCCAGAGAGCAGCCGCAGGGAAAACGAGGAAGATGGCAGACAGGACAGGTGGAGATTGGTCCTCAAGAGGGAGGAGGCTCCTCTTTTCCTCTAAATGAGTCGGGCAAAGCTGGTAAATAGAAACGGACCTCACAGTCTCGGTTTTCTGTAAGACGGGACCTAACCATGTGTTGGGGGAGGGGACAGAGGAAACGTGGTCTGGATCAGCCTCAGTGGGACAGGGAGAGGGGCCACACTGGTCACAGACACAAGGCTCACACTGAGGGCTCCTCTGAAGCTGAGGCTGAGACACTCAGTAGTTCCAGTTTGAAGGGCTGCGTGTACTTTGCATGAAACGCAGCATCCAGAAAAGGTGAACGACAGAACTGATTCAATGTTGAGGGCTCACAGAATGATGAGGGTAAAGGCCCAGGGGAAGACGGATTCGAAGGGTCGGTTCCCCCAAGGCGGAGGCTGGATAAGGAAGGGAGAACATCTGAAAGGGGCTGATAGTTTAGGAGAAAAGGCAGCAGTCAAGAGGAGGAGGCTGTGAAGTAAGTAAAGGAGAAAAGAATCAATAAACATGAAGAGGTAGAAAAGCTAGGCAGATGAGAATTATCATCAATCACTAAAATTTAAGATTTCAGAAAGAGAAACTCAGGATGGTGACCTTCAGGTGTGGCCATGGAGTAGGTTGGGGAATGTGACGAAGTCCTGGCGTAGAGGTAGACAGACTGTAAGCAAGACAGCAGTTAGGCTCTCTGCCTTGATCACTCACTCTACTATTAAAGACAAAAACATATAAAAATGTCAATACATAGGAAAAGATGTGCCTTGCAGACATATGAGCTAAGAGCAACCTAACTTGGTTTTTATCCTTATTACTCATTTGATAAACCATGCATATTCTTTTACCAAGATAAGAAAATCATCTTAACTTTTTATAAAATGCCTAATAGGAGGGATAAAACAGTTAAATGCTATTTGTAGCACATGGCAAAATAATTAAATAACAGTTCTTTTGTGAAGGCTTTCATTATTTATCTTATTCTGGCAAAGGAATCTGAATATTCATCATAATTTTGCCAATTTCTATATGCGTAGCATATATCCGAAACAATGAGGTGACTTGACTTTAACTTTTGAAGCACAGCAAATTTCAAGATAAACAGACCTAAAAGTAGTTAAAATGGTCAATTTTATGTTACAGTTTACCACAATAAAAAAAATAATCTGAAGCTCAGTTGGTTGGCGAGTCATCCTGTACACCTAAAGGTGGAGGGTTCAATTCCTAGCCAGGACACAAACCCAGGTTCAGGCTTGCTCTCTGGTCAGGGGCAACCAATAGATTTTCTCTCACATCGACATTTCTCTCTCTCTCTCTTCCTCTCTCTCTCTCTTCCTCTCTCTAAAGTAATAATAATAATAATAATCTGAAGTAACAGAAAACCAATAGATTTTCTCTCACATCGACATTTCTCTCTCTCACTCTCCCTCTCTCTCTTCCTCTCTCTAAAGTAATAATAATAATTAATAATAATCTGAAGTAACAGAAAGAAATCTTTGTACAGCTAAATTGGATTCTTCCTTAGTATTAGTTACAGGATATCTGTAGTTCAGGCTGAGTTAGAATAACATACATGCCGTTTTAGAAATGAGAGAACCGTTTCTTCACAGAGTCAAGAATATATAATGAACTAAGGTGATGGCATTTTTAAAAGGGAACCACGCTGGGCATCTTTATGTAGTGTGACATTCTTAGTGTCAATATGTCTTCTTTTCTGGAACGTTTCCATTTCATGGGTCTTTCTGCTTTTCTGTTTGAAAAGGACTAAACTTACGAGTTAGAGCGATGCTGAAAGAAGTTTAAAATTTGTTTTGCATTTGTTGTGTTCCATTCTTGTTCTTTCAGGGGTCCTTCGCACACAGATACATACTTTTTCAAAATTTTCTCTCCTACTTCTCGGAAATCCAAGGGCTCTCTGTGTGTAGTGCAGCTTGCTCCAGAAACACCCGCGTCCATGCCCTGGTTTTCTGGCTGCTGATCGGCACAATGCTTCAATCCCCAGTAACACATTTCTCCACTGTACATCATAGCCAGCAAGTGAATGTCACTGAATATTCCTAGGGAAGTCATTTAGGTTGAGAGATTAGAATTTAAAACGTTAAAAAAGAAACTGATTAATAAAATTCCCTCTCAGGACTGTTTTCATTGTGTCCCATAGATTTTGGATTGTTGTGCTTTTATTGTCATTAGTTTCCAGGGTGTTTTTAATTTCTTCTTTGATCTCACTGGTAACCCAATCATTATTTAGTACAGGGGTCCTCAAACTACGGCTCGCGGGGCACATGCAAATACAAATATTGTATTTGTTCCCGTTTTGTTTTTTTACTTCAAAATAAGATATGTGCAGTGTGCATAGGAATTTGTTCATAGTTTTTTTTTAAACTATAGTCCAGCCCTCCAACGGTCTGAGGGACAGTGAACTGGCCCCCTGTTTAAAAAGTTTGAGGACCCCTGAATCAATGGAACCTCTCCGGGACATATGCCCAAAATCCTACACACAATTTCAGAGTACTCAGAGTCTCCCTGAAGGCCACCATGAAAACAACTTTTAATTTAGGATGTACTCTAGAATCAATATTACAGTTCCAGTCAAGTATACTACACCTCCTACATTTCCACAAGAATCTACAGAAGTTATCATGCATAAACATGACCCTGAGCCCAGCCAGCATGGTTCAGTGGTTGAGTGTCAACCTATGAACCAGGAGGTCAACGATTCGATTCCCGGTTGGGGTACATGTCTGGATTGTGGGCTCGATCCCTAGTGGGCGGGTGTGCAGGAGGCAGCCGATCAATGACTTACTCTCATCGATGTTTCTATCTCTCTATCCCTCTCCTTTCCTCTCTGAAATCAATAAAAATGTATTTTAGCCCTAGCTCGTCTGGCTCAGTGGATAGAGCGTCGGCCTGCAGACTGCAGGGTCCAAGGTTCGATTCTGATCAAGGGCACATGGCCAGGTTGTGGGCTCGATCCCCAGTAGGGAATATGCAGGAGGCAGCCGATCAATGATTTACTCTCATCGATGTTTCTATCTCTCTCTCGCCTTCTCCCTCTCTCTCTAAAATCAGTAAGAATATAGAAAAAAAATAAAATAAAAATGTATTTTAAAGAAACATCACCCTGAGAGACTATATAATTCTAAATTATCAAAGATGTTAAATTATATCTAAGACGCTTTATGTTCCCAGGAAAAGGGAATACATGCAGGATTTTCATCAAAAGTTAAAGCAATCTTATTATGAAATAAGGCAATTATATAATTAAACATTTGTGGCACACAAAGTATATTAATTTGGTAGAAAGAGGAACAGAGTTGGAATAAAAAAATATAAATAATTGACTACGGTATAAACTATTTGACTAATAAACTTCTTAAAGGCACTAAAAATAGTTTTTTTATTCTAATGTACAGGTACTTGTATGATTAGAAAAGTCTACCTCAAATGAGCATCATAATCTCAGTTGCTCACCTAATATGACTCATCAGAAAGGATTATGATGGTACTAAAGACACAAAAATAGAAGAAAGATTCAACTTTCAAAACCGTTACAGTTTCTATCATCTTGACTCTACTGCAAGCTTTTCATAGTCTTAGCATTTGTCCCTAGAGCTATCCCCTTCACTTCCCCTCAAATCCTGCTTATAAACAGTAGCAAGAGAAGAAATAGGTTTAGCTGAAGAGCTGACTCATCAAACTGTTATATCAATTTAAAAAAATGATCATTTAAGAGCAGAATCTGAGGCTTGCATTCATGACAATATGATAGACAACACTGGCATGTTAATTGTACTTTCTGTGTATAAAACAACATTCACTTAATAAGTACAGTACATATTACACATAATCATTGCTTTTTTTATTCCTTCATACTACTTAAAATATAAACCGAGAAAAAGCAAGCCGCATTAGATGCTATTCAGAATTATATTTTGTATTAGATTCAGCATTTCATTGAATGCATAGCCTTTTTATTTCTGTAATCCTACACCTTGCTTAGTTATTCCCAAAATTAATGGGGTGGTCCTCAGTGGTGTAAAAAAGGCATAAAAACCTTGGTGGAGGAAAGGAAGGAGGTAGAAGCCGAAATGGAGGGAAGGTTGAACGTAAAGCAGGCTGCAGCTTGGGGAGGAGCTGAAGTATATCCCAGAAAGTGAAGCCACTTGGGTAGGATGAGAACTGGGATCTTATTTTGTGCCCAACTCCAAGTGAACCTCATTCTTTATATTAACAAGGAGTGACTGCTGAACAAGGGACACAGATATCCTGAGGGAAGATTTTACCAGGGACCGAATGAATGGCTATACGACAAAGAGAGGTCCTTAAACTTTAGCCTGCTTTAGAATTACAGGGAGGATGTGCTAAAATGCTGACTGCTGGGCGCCCACCTCCACAGTATCAGGTTCATGTATGGAGTTGGGTCTATGAATTTGCATTTTTAACAAACCACTAGGACCTAGGGTGATGCTGATGCCGTGGACTATGCTGAACTACTGCATTAAAATATCCTGCATTAAAAGGATGAACAATGTAAAAATTAGGCACTTTCTACCTCTCTACTGCCCCAAGGAATCTACTACTCTGTAACTATAGTCTATTGTTTTTAGATAAACTACGTCACTTGCCTGCACAGTCTAGGACACACATGATAGTGGGGAATATAGAGCGGGAGAGGGAAAGTAAGTGACTGAGGGCAGAAAGGAGACTGCCACATTAAAAAGGTGGCAGATTGGCATCCCTAGGAGCAGTGAGGTCTCAATCTGACTGCATCATAATTATGTGAGCTTACTCAAGGTTCCTGGACCCATATACTGAATCAGAACCTGTGGGTGGCAAACAGAAGCCTGTATTTTTAGCAAGCTGCCCTGGCAATCAGCAATGCCAGTTCAGAGCCACTCCTTCAGGGGATCTGAAGTCCAGTTTCTTGGTTAAGCAGTGGGCCAACGGGTGGCCGGAAGTGGGTGGTCCTCAGTGGCATAAAAGCATAAACCAAGGGTATGCAAAGCTCAACAATATTTGATTTAATCTAGTTAACTCCAGGGTTACTCTGACAAGGCTATTTTTATAAGGACACGCCGAGGAATGAAGCTCAGAGATGGGGTAATGAGGTTTACTGAATATATCACTTGGTCATTTTTAAAAGCTGAAAACTTAATGACATATAGGTAATGTTCAAAGCACTATATGATTACCTTACTTTGGAAAAAGGAAGAAAAAATATTACTAAGTATAAACTGTTTTATCTAAAATTAGGTAAATTATCATTAAGATCTGTCCATAAAAATATTCTGATGACTCATATAGAACTTTTCTCCCTAATGAGAATTGGGGATTTTCAGAATTATGTTTTATATTGGCTAACAAAAAAATGAAAAAATAGTTAAATGTCTCTGATGGGGTCTCTGGAGTAATTTAGCCTATGAAAAGTAGGCTTGCTGGTTTCTAGTTATCTTGAGAGAGGAATTACAGAGGAGCAAACAGCTTTAGCTGAGAACAAGAAGCCAACAGCAAGAGAGAACCAAGCACTGTGACAAATCCAATATGGCCATAATATCGTTTTCTTTGTTTCTGGAAAAAAAGTGACTTCTCTGTCTCTTTTGATTCCTGTTATAGATGAAATAGAAGCTAGAAGCAAGAGCAAATGACAATCTAAGAGAAGACACCAGTACTTGACTTGAGGTGGTGACCAAACAATACAGGGTTACAGATGACGTGTTGTAGAATTGTGCACCTGAAACCCATATAATCTTTTTAACCAGTGTCACCCCTATAAATTAAATTTAAAAAAAGAAGAGCAGACACCAGTATCACATGCATGTTGAAGAAAAAGTTTCAGGCTATGAGAGTATCTTACCTTGTGGCTACAAATGGGAGTAGGGAAATAGATGGCTTGTGCGACTTTCTTTGGTTCTAAATAGGCTTTAGTGCCCACCCCTACTTTTTCTTTTAAGTTAATCCATGCTAGTGCATAAGGAGATTTTTAAAAAGCCATTTTGAATGCAGCTAATCAGTTCACTAGCTGTCTGGAATAAGTACTTCCCTTAAGTAAATCAAAACACCCCATGTCTGTCAAAATGTCTACTGAAGGAACACTTTGTATTCACAATAACGCTTCTTTAGGACAGGCTATCTGCCTGAATAAACTGAAATTAAAAGTTTTTGGATATCACCAGCCAGTCGTGTATTAGTGACACTTATATCATGTTTTTTTCTATCCAATTTTTTAAATAGAAAAAGCCTACAGAAACTAACAAAGGAGAATTAAACTACCAAAATGTCTACTGAAGGAACACTTTGTATTCACAATAACGCTTCTTTAGGACAGGCTATCTGCCTGAATAAACTGAAATTAAAAGTTTTTGGATATCACCAGCCAGTCGTGTATTAGTGACACTTATATCATGTTTTTTTCTATCCAATTTTTTAAATAGAAAAAGCCTACAGAAACTAACAAAGGAGAATTAAACTTTATCTATAAAATGAAAATATAGAATATTCTCTAAGAAGTTTTCTTTTCCCCATATTTGATTTTCCCCCATCAAAATTTCAGATCAAGTATAAAAGAAAGTTTACACACGGATCATGTACATCACTTGCCAGCTACATGACTATGAACAGGTATTATCTGGTTTATCAGGGCCTCAGTTCCTCCATTTGTAAAAGAGATGGTGAAAGTAAGTGGTTCTTCTTCCTGCACCTCAGTCTATAACCCAGATGATCCTCTAAATCCAATTCTTAACATTTTTAAGTGCACAGATGTTCATGGCAGAAACTAACAGTCGCCACCCAATATTCATTCATTCTCCCTTTCTTTCTTGGTAAAGAGACTTAATTTTATTTGGGATGGCAATGTACCAGAAAAGGACTATACTTTCCAGGTTCCCTTGTAGTTACATGACTCCATGTGGCCAGTGAAATGCAGGTAAAGTGATGCTCCAAAGGAGTGAGTGGACTTGGGTGAAAGAAGCATCTTTTGCCAGCCCTGTAGACTGAAACATAGGTGAGATGGAGGCTTCCAGGAGCATGCTGGGACACTGAGAACGCCAGCAGGATCCTCACAAGGAAGCATGCTGCACAGCACTGGGAAGCACTGCTCACATTGAATTCTCTATACAGTGCCTTCCTCTGAAGCTGAAGAACTCTGATTCTAAAGATGATGAAGGAAAAACATAGGAACCTGATGACACCAGGAAGCCAACATAACCAGCCCTGGGTCTTTTTTATGTGCAAGAGAAGTACAGGTCTATCTTGTTTCAAAGTTACTTCCAATTTCTGTTACCAGCAGTAAAACCAAGTTGCTGACCAGGGCTACGGAGGGATATAAAATGTAACAGGATATATAACGCTCCCAAAATTACAAAACAGAGAGGTTAAGAGTATTTTTCTATATTACATGAGAAGATCTCTGAATTTTTAGAAGTCATTTTATTTTTGTCTATGATGTAATTTGAAATTTACTTAAATCAGAGTAAAATATGATAAACTTCTTAAATTTTTAAAAAACTTTAAAAACAAAAACTTCAAAAAGAGATCACATTACCTTCACTCAGTAACTTAGCTGTGTCTAGGTCTTGGAAAGAAACTCCTTCATCTAATTGGGTAGGACACCGATAATTTAGCATCTGTAGCAAGTAACTGATTCCATCAACAAGGTACTAAATGAAAGTCAAAGCCAAAGAATTGAAAGTATTACATGCAAAGCTATCGGAACTTCAAATGTTAACTTTTTCCCATTCTTTACTCAAGAAAAATGGGCTAATATATAGCTAGGTCTTATTGCTATTACATTTCAATAGTCTAAGGATCCATTACCTCAAAACTTTTATAATACATATTCTAAAGTGTCATCTTCAAAATGCTCCAGTTATGAGTATGGAAGAAAAAAAATCATTAACCAAGAACACACGATTCAGTAATATACTTGTCAAAAATGTTCTCAGAGGAAGAAAAGGATAAAGATGTGTTCAACAGACCTAGCTGGTTTGGCTCAGTGAATAGAGCGTCGGCCTACAGACTGAAGCGTCTAAGGTTCAATTCCAGTCATGGGCACATGCCCGGGTTGCAGGCTCGATACCCAGTAGGGAGCGTGCAGAAGGCAGCCAATGGATTCTCTCTCATCATTGATGTTTCTCTCTCTCTCTCTCTCTCTCTCTCTCCCTTCCTCTCTGAAATCAATAAAAATATGTATTTTAAAAATGATGTATTCAACAATTTATTAAAAATATATATGTACTTACTATAATTTAGAAATGATATTCTCAAATTTTTACACCTAAAAGGGTGACCGCTCATTTCCAGGCCCCCATGAACCATATGTACAATCAACCCGATAGACTCCCTAGTGACACAATACTAAGACCGTCTTGACATTTATTGATTTGGTCAGAGTCAAACCAAATCAGAGCCAGTTTTCTAGCAGCAGAGTCACGTGGGTTCTTCATGAGTGATCTGCTAACAGAGAGGCTCACAACCAGGTTTGTTTTCTTCAGGCCAAAAACTATGCTTAAAAATTAATATATGTTGTCTACCTTATATTAAAAAAAAAATCATGAACTTATAGAACTTTCCAGTAAGCAAAGAGCTTTCACCTGTTATCTTACTTAATTCACAGTAAGTCCAATTTGTTTACGATTACACAGCTAGTAAGCAAAAGACATGGAATGAAGACCCCTTGGTTCCAATCGTCTTTACACCACACCAGAGACAGCTTTTAGGAACCTATAAACTTAACAATCAAAAAGGACTGAGGAATGCCTTCTTACCTCTTTAAGCAAACCAGATTTCCTCGTGAGCCACTCTCTCCTTTTGGTCAGAGAATGACAATACATATAAAGTAGGGCTCCTCGTCGCCAAGAGAGACATTCCAAGAGTTCGTCCCCAAGTAAATCGCAGTGCTGAAACACAACAGAGACAGAGCTAAGAAGAGAAATTTGATGTCTGTAAAAATAAAGTTAAATTTCAAAATACTGAGAAATTAAAAGCACTTATTTCACAACATTTTCTCTTCATTTAGCTATTTACACAGGAATGCTATACTTTGAATCAATTAGAAATACAGACATCTATTGCTACATGAAAATTAAAATAACTACTCCACTTATAAATATTTTTAGAAAATAGTTTAAATATTTTAGTAGCAAATTCTAATGTATATAAAATATTCAATAATCTGATTTAAAAGATAGTTTTTTAGAACTACATGTTACTTGAAACAAGATCTTACCTATTTCTACCATTGCTAGAATAAAATAATAAAAAGATATACACAAAAACAACCTTAATCAAACTTTTACTGTGTTGTGTCATTTAAAATTTGGGAGTATTTGTTTCTACAATTAGCATCCCCTCATGAACACATACAGCACAAAAGATATCTAAGGGGAGATAAGCAGCAAGCAGTTAAAGATGAATTATTTCCTTGAAAAAGTAGCCATAGCTGGAGATAAAAATCTTGGAATCATCTAAATAGGATGCCATAACAAGCATACAACAGGTTATAAAGCAAGAATAGAGACGGTCAGGGGATTAAGGCGGTATCCTTGGGGGCCTGTCTCCAGGATGGGAGGAAGGGGAACTGTTGGGGAAGGAGCAAAACTATAAAAGGACAAGGGATGTGGTCATTAAATTACTCGGGAAATGCAGACCCTCAAAAAAATGCAGTGTCTGCAAAAGTAAAGGGAGCAGAAATACCAAGTATCTTTGCTTAGAAAATGATCAGGCACTGTAATTACAATACAATTACATCAGGAAAGTATTCTGAAACATATTTAGAAAATATAATACTTTAGGTGTGACACTGGTCTGAAGTGTAATCCCTCCTTCAATCTTAATTTAAAACAGACACAGACATAGTCAAGAAGAAAAAACACAGACTCTAAACAGCAGTCCATAGAGCAAGAATTAGCAGCTTCACCATCATTCACGAGTGTAACACTTACTTTTGGGTACATATTATTTTCTTTAACTAAAATTTCTGGTTCTGAAAGAAAAGTGATCAACTCTTTTACTTTCTGGGAAGAGTCTTCAGGGAAATCTTCATCTACTAGCTTGTTCTCCTCAAAATATGTCATGTCCAAAATAGCCTGATGATGTACAAGAGAAAACAATAACTATAAATGATTTCTACCTGAATAACTCTTACAGTTTAACTTTACATATGTACAGATGTTTTATTAGACATTTAAATTTTCTAGTGCACTATTTAAATTTGAGGCCCTGGCCAGATAGCTCAGTTGGTTAGAGCATAGTCCCTATAAGCCAAAGTTGTGGTTCCATCCCTGGTCAGGGCACACACAAGAATCAACCAATGAATGAATGAATGAATGAATGAATGGATAAACAAGTGGAACAGCAAATCAATGTCTCTATTTCTTCTCTCTCTCCTTCCCTCCCTCACTCTAAAATCAATCAATACATGTTTAAATTTGAAAAGTAGGCAAAATATCTAGCTGAAAACATAATCCAAGATGAACTTAATGGAAAACTTCATAGCTATTTTACTAAAATACTAAATTAATGCTGACCTTCCTTCCCTCAGAAAATAAAAGGGAGTTTTATATTTTAATTCAGGTAAGTAAACCATATACAATATTATGAAAAGTATAATTATATATTCTTTGCTATTTATACATATATACTCTGGACATTTTCTAAATGGCTGCTGTATCAAGTTAAGATCACTACCTCTAGTTTTGAAAACTGAATCTTCAAAGGATTTGTTTTCCCAAATGCAGATTCAACCCACCAAAGGCAGCATATCACCAACATTATGCAATTCAAACACTAAGACCCTAGCATTCTTAAATACAAGACGCTCTGTTCAAGTACCTTAAAACGACCCAATCCTTTTTTTCTAACCTATTGGACTAAGATGAACAAAACTGTGTTCTAGTGTCAGTTCTACCATTAATCACCTAATCAAAGGACAAGTCAATTTATGTTTTTTTAAGCCTCAGTTTCTTCATTGGTAAAATGAATTGGACTAAATGACTTTCAAAGTTCTTTGCTTTGAAGATAAAATGAATTGACATATGTAAAGCGGTTCTCAACCTGTGGGTCACGACCATCGGAAAACACATATAGCATAACAGATATTTACATTATGATTCATAACAGTAGCAAAATTACAGTTATGAAGTAGCAATGAAAATAATTTTATAGTTGGGGGTCACCACAACATGAGGAACTGTATTAAAGGGTCGCGGCATTAGGAAGGTTGAGAACCACTGACAGAACATGACTTGGCACACAGCACTACTTAAGTGATAAATGTTCTTGTGTGGAGGTTAAGCCAGGAAGGAGGAGATCATCCTAAGAAAAGTGACCTGTTGATTCAGAGCCATAAGTGGGATCCAAGGGGGCCTGGGGACTATAAATCTAGGGCCTTTTGCCGTATTCTTAGAAATAAATTAAGATGTTTAAAACTCTCTCATGTGAAAGAAATGACACAAGCTGGGAGCCTTCTGAAAGGAAAGCCAGGGCAAGTTCTGCCAAATCACAACAGTTCTTTGGGGTTTGTGAGTAGCTGTCACAGACTCATTTGACCATGACGTTTGAAGGCAGAAGCCATCTTATGTTCCTCCAAACAGAAAACACAGTACCAGGCATCTAAATGCTGTAAATGTACACTTGAAGGTTAACCAAGTTTACTCTGCTTTCTGTTTCTTTTTTTAAAAAATATATTTTATTGATTTTTTACAGAGAGGAAGGAAGAGGGATAGAGAGTTAGAAACATCGATGAGAGAGAAACATTGATCAGCTGCCTCCTGCACACTCCCTACTGGGGATGTGCCTGCAACCAAGGTACATGCCCTTGACCGGAATCGAACCTGGGACCCTTGAGTCCACAGGCTGACACTCTATCCACTGAGCCAAACCGGTTAGGGCTGCTTTCTGTTTCTTTTCTTTTTGTTATGTATTGGTTTGGGGTGTACAGCTTAGTTGTTAATCATAAACTTTACATATTTCCAGTACCCCAACTGGCACCATACATAGTCATCACAATATTTTTTTTAAATATATTTTATTGATTTTTAACAGAGAGGAAGGGAGAGGGATAGTTAGAAACATCAATGAGAGAGAAACATCGATCAGCTGCCTCTTGCACACCTCCTACTAGGGATGTGCCCGCAACCAAGGTATATGCTCTCGACCGGTATCAAACCTGGGACCTTTCACCAACACTCTATCCATTGAGCCAAACCGGTCAGGGCTCATCACAATATTATTGACTATGTTCCCTATGTTATAATTACTTCCCCGTCACTACTCTTGTAGCCACCAATTACTCTACTTTCTATAAGCACTCATCTGTATTATCCCTGAGGATCAAGTAAGGGCATATGAAGCACTCTATTAACTATAAGATGTTGTAGGAATGTTAGTTACTATCTATAATAATAAAAGCGTAATATGCTAATTAGACCAGATGTCCTTCTGGACGACCTTCCAGACAAAGCTGGGGCTTCGAGGGAAGCCTGGGTCCCGGGTACTAGAGGGAAGCCGGCAGCCGAGGGAAGGAAGGCCTACTCTTGCACGAATTTCGTGCATCAGGCCTCTAGTAATGAAATAATGTTTAATGTCAACTTGCCTCAGCAGTGTTTGAGAAAACCAAGAAAACAGATCTTGTCCATACAGAGGCCTGAATTTGAAAGCAAAACAAAAGAAAAAAAGGGAAAAGGGGCAACAGAACAATCTTACAGAGTTGCATGATAATAACAGAGGGAGTCATGTTCAGAATCCTAAGGAAAGGAGAATTTCAGGGGGGAAAAATAACTGGGGCTCTTTAGAATCCTCCATTTCTTCTGAATAACCTTTAAAACCTTCAAAATTGGACATAGTCCTGTTTTGCTCACTTACCTATAAAGGGAAGCAATTCTGTTACCTGCAAGATTTTATTCCTTACTTTTCTTATCAATACACATCTACTAAATCTTTACTTCTTTGCAATATTGCCTCCAAGTTTCAAGTCTGTATACTTTGTACATACAGTTTTTGAACAAAATCAAGCACTTGAAATAGAGAATAAAATGATTTTATTAGACCTAAACATTGGAATCGATCCTCTAATTAAGCAATTTGCCCCCATAACATGTCAGAAACTACATCTGTCTTAGTACCTGTGTGTAAAGTTCTAGTAGATTCGATGGATTTGAACACTTTTTTTCTTCTCCACACAAGAGTTTCAATTTTTCTAGAGCTGCAGAGGCCCGAATTAAAAAGTGATCTGTAAGAGAGAAAAACATGTTGATTACTTGACATAATTTCAAACTGTTATTTAAACAAAAAAAAAGTTATGGATCTTAAATGATTAAATAAAACTATGTTTGGCACTGGAGAAGAGCATGGTAGCAATAATAGTTTATGTAAAACAAATATAACGTAACGCCTAATCCTAATTAAGCTAATTTATTATGGACATTTATTCTGGAAAGCTAGACTGAAAACTTCCTAAATAGCCTAAGTATCTTAGATACAGTTGCAGGTAATAGCCTCTACTATCGATCAACTAACTATTCATGTGCATCCTGGGATTGACTTACCACACAGAAAAAGAAGTTGGCTTCTGGGTATTCTGTGGATTTTGAAGAACACACCGCTAAGAAAAAAATAATTCCGCAAATAATCTTGACTAGAACTAGAGCTATCTCATCATAGACCCTAGTCAACAAACTTACCAACTATTTATTCAATCACTGGGGTCAATGTCCCACTACCATTTCCTGAGTGCGATGACAGCGAGTCCACAAGAACTTAAAAGCCGATCTGCATTGTAATAAAGGCTCAAGACTCAAAAAGAAAAAACATAAAATCTACAGGCAGCAGAGAAGTCATGAAAGAGAACTGGACTTAAAATCAGAAGTCGAGGCAATTCTCTACTTTTTTTTTTCTTCTTAAGGAAACCGCTGCTGTTTAAAAGTGTTCTGATCCCGAGGGGGCCCTGTGAGAACCGAGGTGATGTGTGTGCAAGAACCAATGCAAAGCCCTTCCGTAGAAGACTGTTTACAGTTGAGCTGAGAATCCCAGATAAGACAGAAACTGAAAACGAAGCAACAGAAGTGTTACTGCTGCACCGGCCTAGCTCTTTCCTGCGCGCACAGCCACGACCTGGGTGCTGTCACCAGCGCGAACCTGCAAACTTTCGTGGGCCCTGTTCTCGGGTTCTGCCCAGGTCCCCTGGGCTCCCGAGCCAATGCACGGCAAGCAGCACTGATCTGACTGAGACGCACGCGGTTGTCACGGGTGATAAAATCGCAGCCCCGACGCCAACGCCTTCGCTTAAGGCGATGTGAATTCTGCGGGATGGACACTGACCGCGCACCGGGCGCACGC